TTGGATGGGGGAAAAACAAATGATTAGTTGAGTTAATAAAGCGGGACAATTATTACAAAAAATTGATTTAAAGAGTTTAAAAAAAGAAATATCGGTTTACGAATATTTTAAAAACTTTTGAAACACTTCAACGGAACATGCAATACTATACTTAATCAATGAAATAAAAAAATGCTTTTGCAAACGAGAATTTTTTTTTTTTTTTTTTTTGGTGCCCCAAGAAGACCTGATGGTCTTGTCACAGAGCACCGCGGAAGTGCATTTAACCAGGAAGTTCATGCCTCCATCCTTACCGTGACGCGAAAATATGTCCAGAGCTCGTTTTGAACCTGGATCTCCTGCTTTTATAGCAAGCGCTGTAACCACTGCGCCACGGCTGCTATTTGTAGCAGAGAGTAGTTTCAATCTACCGACCTCAGAAAATTTACGATGGGTGTATTTATCGACTAAGGACTTTAATGCAGTTGATCACAAAATACTTGTAAAAAATCTTAAAACGTGAAGTATAAAAAGCATACCAAACATAACAGACTATCTAAGTTTGAATACGTAACCAATATATTGTGGAAATAATAAATATACAGGTGATTTCTGGTGGTGTGTTCCAAGGGTCTACTCTTGGGCCTCTACTTTTCCTTATACATGTCACTGATCTTTGGAGATCTTCAAATATATCAACAATTGTGTTTGCAGACAACAGCCAAGGCCGGCGGGATAGAGGTGTGGAGGGGGGGTGGCACCCCGCTTCCCCATCAGTGATTTTTAGTCGGCAAATTTGACCCTTAGTCGGCAAATTTGACCCTTTTTGACTAGTTAATCGGCAAATGTAGACCCTGTCGATAGGTTAGTTGGTAAATTTAGACAGTCAGTCGGCAAATGCCATCATTGCAATCGGCTAATATTAAAAAACGAGGACCTTTTTTTTTTTGTCGCCAAAAGTTGTAATGGCACCCCTTCTCCCCCCCCCCACGTGACACCTACTCGCGCCGGCCCTGACAACAGCAATTTTTTTTTCTCTGGAAAAGATAAATAAAACAAACAAAAAAATTCTTATTTCTCTTTCCAAACTAATTATTGAAAACACAGAAAATAGTCATGAAAGAGTGACGAAGTTTTTTGGTGTTTTCATCAACGAAAATATTATCTGGAATAAACATATTGCCTATATTGGCAACAATATATCAAAATTTTATGGAATTTTATATTAATCAAGAGATCTACTAATTAAACATCATCTAAAACAAATATATATCAGTTTTATACAAAGTTACTTAAATTACGCAAATATCGCCAAATTTATGGAGTAGTTCTTCTAAAGGCAAACTAGAAACACTCAATCGAAAACAAAAACATGCTTTAAGAATAGGGATAGTCTATAAATTACGGAACGCTAAATTTATTTAAAAAAAAGAAGTATCCTGAGCTATTTTACTCGGCAATTTTCATTAAACTTAATGGAGCTATTTTAATTTTTTATATATTAGGGGGTATAGTACACACCCCGCCACAAATGTTAACACATCCTCGTTAATCGGATGTTAACCCCCCACCCCCAAATAAAATTAAAATATTTAAAAACAGTTGTTCACTTATAAGTAAAAGTAATTTTTATATAATATGATTACGCTTGGATCATACAGGAATATTAACGATTAAACAAATTAATTTTTAACTTTACTAAATTTTTACGAAAATTTTCTTTTTTTTTGCCACAAAATAATAAGACACTTTTACAAAAAATGTTTTGTTTACAAACTGCAGCTGTGGGCGATTATGAATATTTATTTGATGTAAACATCACATCTGATTATTTAACTGTAAACTATTGCGAACTGTCAAAAAACTAGTTTAGGTTTTCTTTTTATGAAGTATAAAATAACAAATTAATTTAAAATGGGTCGTGCTACACAGTTGAGTTCAGGTGAGAAAAAAGTGCTCTCTAACTTAGCGAAAAAAGGTGATTGAGTTAGTTACATAGCTAGAGCGATTGTACACACCCAAAATGCGATTAAAAACTACCTTGATAGTCATCATACGTGTGGAATAAAAAAAAGTTCCGGACGTTTTTAATCATAATAAATATCAGTTTTTAAACATAATGTAGAGTAAAGTTTTATAAAATTTGGGGGAGGTGGTGCTTTATCATTTTGTCACGCAATGTATTAGCTCCCCACCCCCCAACCCGAACTAAAATATAAAGTTTATGAAGATATAAATAAAAATACTGGTGTTGTGCAAAAAGTTAAACTAAAAATAGTAAATAACAATCAAGATGTCGAAATCCAATTATGCATTCTATAATTACTTTGACAAAGATGTTACTTCCGAATTAATTACCCACAGGTAGTTTGCAAAAAATGCTAAAGATCTAGCATCATTCATCTATCTCAAGTGCTTCTTGAGATAGATGAAAAAAGCAGTTGGATACCGACATGAAGATAATGAAATTGATTACAAGAACAGGTAAAAGTTTATCTGTTGAACATGATGAAATTCAGCACCTGAATTTAATCGTTAATTACACAAAAACTACTTTACAATTTTTTTTTTTAATTTTTTGCACACGGAAACCATTTTGTTTTTGTTTGACTGTAATGGTAATAAGAGTTGGTTATTATTGTTATCAGATTAAAATGAGTAAAATATATGAAATCAAAAAAAAAAAAAAGTTTCGGAAACTTTTCATCAAAACCCTTCATTGTCACAAGTTGACATTTCAATGTGGCCGGTGTTTCTCGATCCTCGTTTGGAATTATTTGCGACAATATAAACAGACTAAATCTATTGAAAGTGAAGCTGAAAATGGAAAAAAAAAGAATGGATTGAAAGATAAATATAAAGCAAATCTATCATTTGCTCCGTGAAGGAAAATCCATGTCAGTCTCAGAAAATCTTGCGAGAAAATTTAGATGCAGCCAAGCTTTGATAGGAAATTAACGACTAAAAATAGTTGATTTCAAATAGGTTCAGTTTATTACAAATAATTATTTTCATAAATGCGAATAATAATATTACTATAAAGTTAATGACTTTCCAAAAAATGTAAGTTTACGAAAAAATACGAAAAAAAGCAAAAAATTATTGACTTGTAAATATTTATCATGTTGAACTTAAGTTACCAGAAAAAGTCAAGACTACGATATATTCCCGTTAAATGGTCAGGCTTGTGAATTATGAAAAGACGAAAAATATTAAAATGATAAATTTTGCGGTATCATAAAATATAAACGTTTGTAGCGAAAAAACCCAGACAAAAGATTCCTTTTTTTTTTTTAAAAAATCATTTTAAAATCACACTCGCTAGTTCAAAGTTTAATAAGATTTTAAATTAGGTGAAATGAACATCATAGTTTTTAGGTGAAATGAACATCATAATTTAACAATATGATCTGTTCTGATCGTTTATTGGCAATTTTCCATAATTATAAGCTCTTTCTCGGTCGGAATTCTAGTACTTTTTGTAAAAATTGATAGAAATATTATGTTTTAACAACTTTATAGAGTTAAAATACGTCAGAACCGATTAGAACTAGGATCAGTAGTAAATTAACGAACTTTTTCAAAAGATTTTAAATTCATGTTAATGCCGATGAGCGGAACTGGTCTAAAGACTCCAAAATAGTTTTTTTTAGATTCACTAATATGGTGGTAAAAATGTTTTGAAAATTATATAAAAAAGTAGAAAAGTTTTTTTAAATATTAAAAAAACCTTAAGTAAAAAAAATTATACCATCTGAAGCTTTTGTTTGGACATAATACGCTGACAAAATCATGCTAATTCCAAATAGAAGCATTCGAATAACTTGTAAATTGCCTTAACTACACCGAGAAGTCGAAATAAATTTTTTTCTCTTAAAAATTGGAATAAAAAATAATTCTCGCAGCGTTCAGCACGACTTCTTGTTGCATCTAAATGCCGATATCCCTAGTAATTTTCTTTTTAATTTATGAGTTGTCTATCAAAATTTAAGACTTTGTCACAACTTTCAAAGCCTCAAAACTAAATGCCTCAATACTCAACGGGTATTTTAAAGCAAAAATTAGCTTAAAAAATCCTAGTTTTTGTGCGCGGACACGTTTTGTGGAAATCATTGGACAAATTCTAACGCCAATTCATTCTTGTAAATTGCTTAATAATATTGATTTTAATTAAAGCTTGAATTAACTTTCTTTTTTTTTAAACGGTTGGGCTTATATGAGTTTTTTAATGGGAACAGACTTGACTCGTTTAAACTGCGGAAATTTTCTGACCTTTTTATCTTTATGTTAAGTAACATAACACAACCAAAATAGAAATATTCAAAATCTACAGCTAACTACTTTAGTTTTTAAGTATTTCTACTATTGAAAGCTTAAAAATATTACTTCAATTACACCTTAACTATTTTCCGCAATGATGACACGCACTATTTTTGTTCTTGTTTTGGCCCGACCGGAACGTGTCGTGCCAAAAAAACCAGACCCGCCCCGTGATAAATCCGCTATTAGTTTTGAACAAAGAAACATTTTTTAAAATTAATTTTTACTGAAAAAAAAACATTTAAAAATTTAATTTAATGGAAATATTTTATTATTTAGAATTGTTTAAGGTCTTACAAAATGGTCTATAAACGAAAAGACATAAATAAAAATAACCCAAAATAAATTATTTAAAAAATAAATGACACATACATAAAGACACATGACAAATAAACCTCTAAAAAAGGAATTGGAAAAATTGTAAATGTTTAAAAAAATGAATACATTAACTTATATAAATTCCAAAAAGCAAAAACTCCTAAATATTTTTAATAAAAATCTTGTGTCAAAATTATGTATTAATTTATTAATATCATATTGATATGAAATGTTTCTATCATATAAATATTTCAAGCTACTCATAAATTTCCATAAATTTATAAAAAAATTAAAGATATATAAAGATTTATAAAAAAATTAAGATATAAAGTTAAAAAAATTTAAAATGCTAAAAATTAAATAACTTTTGTAAAGAAAAGTGTGTATATATATATATATGTATATATAAAAATACAAAATAACCATATACAGTAACGAAAAGTACATATAAAAATTTTACAATGTTCATTAAATTGTAACTTAGTATAAAATTTTTTTCCCCCCATAAACATGATGTCTTTGTTCTTCTATAGACATTTGCCAAACAGATATCTTCTTTTCTATGTCATTAACCAAAGTCATTTTTCGCCTGGATGGAGCTGAGTCTCTTAACTGTTCATGAAAAGAGTCTGATGGACTCAATGTACCAGTTGATGTATGTTTAGATTGTATAAATACAAAAAACATGTATAAATACAAAACAAATATAGTAGATAAAACAAATATTATAATGACTTTGATTAGCACAGAGTTACGTGATTCAAATTTGCATTCACACTTTAAACAGTACAACTGTTCTCGTTTGACTACATTTTCACAAACACACTCATAAGGATTTATCATGTCATTCATAATAAAAACATTTGTTTGATTACGTGACTCTTTCGGACATACACACTTACATCTAGTGTCTCCAGAAGTTAATACCCTCTGTGTAAAAATGCAAAGAAAAACAAACAGCGATATAAACTGCATTGTAATTTTTTGATCAAAACTTCCTAAAATATAAGAATAAGTAAAAAACTTAAGCAACATATTGAAGATTTTTTAACAATAATGAAGAAAATATACAGTTATAGCTGCAATCTAGATTCTACACCAACCGTTATTTAAAAAAAAATAATCTTTTGAAAAATATTTTAAACTAGGTTTTTTGACACCAGTAAATACACAATGTTAAACAACTCATGCAAGTTATTTCTCCAACATTATAATCTTCTTAAACCTTATTTGAATATTTTAATCAGTAATATTCATGCAAAGAAAAACTTAAAGCAGAGCGTGGTAATAGGTAAAAAGACTTTCATCAAAAACATAAAATTTACATTAATTGCTTTAAAAACAAAGAATTTTTATACAGTCTTTTACAAAAAAAATCACAACAAAAACTTATCAATAAAGAGAAAACTATTGTCGCGTAACTAACAATAAAAAAATTATCTAAAATAATTAACTATTAAGTTTAAATATCGACTTCATTGTAGAAAAACTTTTAAAATATAAAGTTATTAATTTTTCAAAACATTAAAAATATATCTAAAAAGTAAAACTTTAATATTTGAATTTTTAAAAGATTTCATATAAATATTCATTATTTAAATAAAAGATACAGTATAATTCTACATAGCACAATAAGAAATGAAAAATATTGCAGGGAAATTTGCTGAGAAGAAAATAAAAAAACAAAATTTTTGAAAAAACATTGTTAATAGATTGAAAGATTACTGATGTTGTTGTACACTTGTTTCTATAGTTATTATAACTCATTTTTATTTTGCAAATCCTTTATTTATTTAAAAACAAATTTTAAACTATTTTAAAAGTTATAAAAATTCAAACTAAAAGTACCAAAATTAGTTTCCTTCCAAAAGTGAGGTAATTGCAAAAACAACTAGTATTTTATATCCTGCAACACTGGCTTATATATATATATATATATATATATATATATATATATATATATATATATATATATATATATATATATATATATATATATATATATATATATATATATATATATCATATATATATATATATATATATATATATACATATATATATATATATATATATATATATATATATATATATATATATATATATATATATATATATATATATATATATATATATATATATATATATATATATATATATATATATATAGTACTCTAATTTAAAACATCTTTTTTCCCATAGACACGGTATCGCTGTTCATCAACACTTTGTTGCCAATCTGATATTGTCTGATCTAGTTTATTTAATGCAGCATTGTTGCGTTTTCTTAAAATTGGTCTTTTTAGTTTTTCAGTTATCAATGGTGCAGATTTAGATCCACTAATTTTGGACTTGATGAAAATTAAAATCATATATGAAGTCAAAAGAGAAATACATGCTATAACAAATATAATAATCACTTTGATTAACATTGAATGACGAGTTTCAAATTTGCACTCACATTTCAAGCAATATTTATCATCTCGTTTGACTACATTTTGACAGATGCAGTCTTCTGGTTGTGTTATATTACTTACAACAAAAATATGTGTTGAGTTTTTGGGTCCTTCTTTAGGACAAACACATTTGCAACGGAAATCATTAGAAGTACTTAATGCACAAGTAAAAGTATTTCCAAGAATGAATATCCAAAATAAACATATTTGTTTTGAACTCATACTTTACTCATATAGTTTTTTCGTTTTACATGCTAATAAATTTAATCAAGCAAAATATCATTAATACATACATACACACATACATACATATATAAATATATATATATATATATATATATATATATATATATATATATATATATATATATATATATATATATATATATATATATATATATATATATATATATATATATATATGAATAGTTTTATATATATATATATATATATATATATATATATATATATATGAAAATTTAATTCAATTTATACGAGAAAAAAACCTGTGTAAGTGATATCTTATTACTTTTAATAAATTAAAAGTAAGAAAGTAAGAAATACTACTAATACAATAAAAATAAAAATTCTAAAAATCTTTTCTTAATAAATTTGATAAATCCCAAACATTAAAATATTGATTTGTTAAGTTGATATTTAAAAATTTATTAAATAGTATAAACAATACAGGTTGCGCGGAGCTCAGAAGACCTTATTCAGATACACGCTTACCCGCCTTTTTGTTTATGTTAAATAACTAAGATCAATATAAAACCTGTAAAAGTTGATACTTATTTATTGATTGCCAACACTGACTGAACAATTATTATATTTAACAAAAAAGTGCATAGGTTGTCAAAAGTAAATATTGTATAGAATTAAACCTTAATATATCTTAATATATATATATATATATATATATATATATATATATATATATATATATATATATATATATATATATATATATATATATATATATATATGCATATATATATGTATATGTATATATATATATATATATATATATATATATATATATATTTATATATATATATTCCAAGCTAATAAATAGTTCTTTACTGTTTTTTTAGAACTACCTAATAAGACGTACGATAGGGTAGAGCGGGGCATATAGGGACACTTAAGAAACAAATCCTAGTTGCGGATAAACTAATCATAGTTAACACTCGAGATTTCTAGACGGTGTCAACGAGCTTGCTTTTATTACGCAAAATAAATGATAAATTGGTTTTAAAAAATGATTGATACTGATGCTTTATCTTTAAAGATGCCAACCCTCCATATTGTCCAAAATTAAGACCAATTGAAGATCTTTGGGCAATTTCGTTCTGTATACGAAAGGGTTAATGGGAGGCTATAAATGTGTTGCAATTAAAAAGAAAGATTAGAGAGAAAAAAAAAATTGATTTGAATGTTGTCAAGGATAATCTTTAGAATGTAAAAAGGAAGATACAGGAATTTGAGAACCTGGGCTTTTATTCAATTTATAATTTGATTTATATGTATTATTCAATGTTTATATTTTATAAATTAAAAATCTTTTTGTTACCTATTCTATAACCAGTGATACTTGATTTTGAAAGCATTCTCAATTCTTTAAGCCACATGTTATAACAAATTTGACAAACTGAGTTTTACTTGTGTTTATTAATAGCTCATGGCAGAGGCGGATCTAGCTTTTTTTGGTGTCTAAGAAAAAAGCCCCAAAATTTTTAACGCCTCTGCCCCTAAAATATTTTTTCTATTATTTTTAACTAAACTATTATTCATCGTTAAAATTTCAATTTTATGCAATACTCTTTTAGCATTCAAATATTAAATTACCATGTAAAGTTTAGATCCCCTCAATTTGAGCGTGCTTCAAATTTTTTTGGCCATAATTTTAAAATTCCTAGAGATTACTTTATAAAATATACAATTTATCGATAAATATTAATTTAGTTAAAGATAATTAAAAAAATACTTTATCAACTTGTTACTCTCACGTTTGGGGCAGGGGCTTCTCAAACTTCAGGGTTTGTTTGTTCCCAGGCTCCAATCATCGCAATTTTTTGCAAAGCGTCCTTAATTGACATAAGTATAAACATAAAAATGTTTGGAGTTTTCTTCATATCTGAATGTTAGATACCTTCAACACCAATATTTTAGGACTTGTCAGTTTCGGATATCATTACATTGTTCTGTTTTTGATTTAGATTCAATCAAAAGTTTTCTATTAAATGAATTTAAAAGTTGAGGATTAAGTCCATTCACTTGTGGGACAACTCTTGTTACTGGTTTCCATATTGTAGTAGTTTTACCTTTTTTTATCTCGTTGGTATCTGTCATTAAAGTTACTTTTAAACCATATTTATGTCATTAAAGCTACTTTTGAACCAACATTTTCATTTACTCCATCAGTAGAAATCGGCGTAGAACGGTCAATCAGAAGGGCTCTGACGCATTTGCCATCATCTATTAACTTAAAAAGCGTGTACACGAAATAAATGTGAAAGAATAAGTACGTCATTTTTTTTCAGTGGTTATATTAAAATCTTTTTAATTGTTTTGTATTTTATTTACAACGTGTTTTTGAAACCACAACGTGTTGTGGTTTCAAAAAAATTTATTAGTTTTTTGATTTAACTTAAGATTAGTTTTAAAAATGATAAAAGAAGAAGACATAAAAAAACTATGCACAAATATTTGGAAAATCCTAATAGTAGCTACAATTCGATAGCAAAAGCGTTGCAAATACATCCATTAGTCGTGTAATCCAACGTTTTTCTCAAACAAAATCGATTAAACGTAAATCTGGTGGTGGAAGAAAGAAGTTTTAAAGATAAAATACTAGTTAACAGTTTTAAGACTAACCCAAGCCTTTCACTAAGGAAGCGCGAAAACATATATTGACTTTCTCAAAGTTTTGTTGTAAAAGTTCAAAAAAATAAAAGTTGTTTGCTAAAAAAGTCTTGATTTGGCAAGCTATTAGCAGTTGCGGCAAAAAATCAGCACCTTTAATTTCTCAATCCACACTTTCGGGTCAAATATATGTTGAAGAGTGTTTACAAAAACGCCTTTTACTTCTCAATAAATCACATGATAAGAGACCTGTGTTCTGGCCTGATTTAGCTTTAATTCATTATTGTAAACTAGCTTTGGAATGGTATAAAAATGATAATGTAAAATTTGTGCCTAAAACAGAAAATCCTCCAAACTGCCCAGATTTAAGAGTTATTGAAAAGTACTTTGCCATTATTAAAAGAAAAATGAAAAAAACAAAAAAACTTAGCTGAAATATTAAAGATAGTAAAATATAATTTAAAAAAGCATCAAATGGCTTCAATTCTTATTCTGTGCACAAGCTTATGGGTACCACCAAAGCAAAAGTTCGAAATTTTATTAGATTCCCACAGGAATAATTTGATTTTTTTTTATATTTGATCTTCTTATATTATTGTATTAAAGTTATTACTTGGTTGGAAATAAAAATTGAAGAGTACTTTTTTTTAGTTGCTTTTCTAATTTCACATTTATTTCGTGTACACGCTTTACTAAAAACCAGTAATCCAGTCTCAAAACTTGAATTACATCAAAACCCAAAATGTTCGAGAGGAATACTGATATTTTTATCATTAAATTTAGTTAACTGTTTTGCTAATTTTTTAAAATTCTGGCTAACTCAGGTAATGTAGAGATTAGTCTGTAATTTTTCGGATCTTCTTTACTTCCTTTACTCTTCCAGATTGCAGTAATAATATTTTTACATCTAGATGGAAATTTTTTTATTTGATAGTGAGCTATTAAAGATACAAGAGTGGTTAAGAGCAACTGCTTCATCATTTTTCAGCACACATCCTGGAATTTTGCACCATTCCGCAGCACCATTCTATTTGATGTTTTAATTAAATTAATTTAACTCTTGTTTGCACATTTTTATGGTACCATAATAGGCGAGATATTCTTTGACTTCACAAATGATGCAAAATAGTCATTTAGAATTGTTGAGTCAAGTTTTTTTATTTATTTTTTAATTTGTTTCTGGTTTTTAGGGTGCTCCTAAAAGTCCTCATGGTCTTATCAAGGAGCACCGCAGAAGAACATTAGGAAATTTACACCTCTTTCCTTACCAATGTCGCTTAATGGGCTAGAGCCGGCGTCGAACCTTGTACCTTTTGATTCTGAGAAGAAACTTTAACCACTGCTCAATTGCTGCACCTATTGTAGTTGCTACCTCTTTTTTAGGTGAACGAAATCTTTATAATGTACTTCTAACCATTTTGAGAGTTTAACTATCTAGAGCCTTAATACCTTTAACCTTCTCTAATTTCCATTATTGACTTTTGATTCTTTTTTTAAGGTTTTCATTTCATTATATTTCCTTTTATGAATAACTTTGCTAGTTTATTGTTATTTTTCATCATCTGTCTGATATCGTCGGCGCTATTCATCTAATATCTGAGTAAATGCCTTTCCCATCAATTTCAGCTTCCAGAGTTAACTTTTTAAAATGATCTCTTGAACACTGGTTTTAACTGGCTTATAAGCCGGTTGTTGTTTGTAAATGCAACATATGATTGCATTTACAAACAACTTTAACTTTATTTTACTCCAAACAATTTTAATCGAGGCTGTGACAGGTAAGTGATCACTAACATTAATATTAATTCTATCATATTCAGTACATAACACTTGTTGTTGTTTTTTAGCTTAGTGGTCTTTTGGGGGTATGAAATGGTTAAATTCCATATATGGTCATATTGAAATAATAAATCTTTTAACTTATATGGCTCATAACATATTTTTGGGATGGGAAATTTAAATTTGGTTTTATATTTTAGTCGAATTCGAAATATTACCTTGAAATTTAGGGTCAAATAAAAGGCCCAAATCCGATAATACTGAAAAAAAAGTTATATTGACAATACATTATCTACCTTCATACTGGGGAATTAGAATTTTGTAAAATTTAACAACTTTACTCAGGGCCGGTTTAACCCACGGAATCACTGGCCACGGAGTTCAAGAGGCCAGAGCATCTAAGTGAACTTTTGAAAGATATATAGTTTGAAAGCAAAAAAATTATCAGTCTCTATCTTTGACTTCCTCTGATGTCCCAGAGATTTTTAATCTTTGCAAACTGGACGTTTTTTTTAACGACTTGAAAGAACTTTCGAGTTCGAACATATTGGTAAAAAAAGAAACAAATTTAATAAATCAAGCAAATACAAAAACAACAAATTGTTATAAAAAACAAATTATTAAAAGAGAGGATAAAAAAAAGAAAAAAGCAACTAAATTAAAAAAGACAATAAAATAAAAATTTATAATTTAAACAAATAATAAAAAAGAATTTCAATAACGTTTTAAATATATATATTAAAAAAGATTTTTACAAATGCAACGCATTTTGATGATTCAAAATACGTTGCATTTTGAATCATCAAATGGAATTCGAATTCAAAAAGGGTGCGTTTTGACCAGTCTTGAATTAATGTTTTTTTTTAATTTTAGTGAATAAAATTTTATATAACTACTTGCATTTGTTAGCCAAGCGTATCCCATCATAAGATATTTGTGAAGTGTTAGTCGACGTCATTTTTATTTTCAGTAAGATTGTATAAATACTACTTATTTACGTCATATATTTTTCCGTTTGTTGTTTACACTGTTTATTTTTTTAATAACTTTTTAATTTAATTGAATTTAATTAAAGAAGCCGAGTCCTTAGTCAACACGGAGGAATATGCCTACGACCATAGGCGCCCAAGAGCACACATGAAAGTATTACAATGAAATCAGCAGTGTGGAAACTACTGTGTTTTTTAGGCGATCTAAAAAGATTGCCGACGTTAATGAGATCACGGACAAACTAATGAGTGATCTAGATATAAGAAAGAAAGCCTATTCTGGATTGAATTCTCTGGTTATATTTTGATCAGTAGGATCGATATCCTACTGATCAAAACTCTCACTTTGAGAACAAATGTCTTCATTTTGGAGCTTTTATTCCGACTGAGATAAATGATAAAAACGACAAACGAAAACCTTGAGCTCTGGAACTTTATAAAACTAGTTAGATATAAGAACCTTGAATCAATCTTTTTTAACATTGACGTAGCCCTTCAAATCTTCTTGACCACTGCAACAAATTGTTCCAGATAACGTTTATTTTCAACACTGAAAAAGATTAAAAGTGTTCTTCTCTCAACTGCAGGTATATATACAACATAAAAAAATATTAATAATATAAAAATCTCTTTATTAAGTATTTCTTAAACAATAATAATTCTAATTTCAGATCTTTCTATCGTTCAAATAGAAAACCGGGTGTTGAATTCCATCGACCTAGAAGATATTATATCTGCATTTGCAAGTTTATGCAGACGAAGGGTGTTTTAAAACCTATACTAATCGCAGCATGTTGTTAATAATAAATAACGCGAGATGTTAGTTCAAATACAAAAGAAAATATACAACAAAGCCATAGCGCAACAATTGCAAAGAATTTTTTTTTTAAAACCGCTGTTAAATTTAAAAACTAGAAGGCCAACAGGGGCCAGAAGACCCTGACTTTACTCACTAATCAAATATACTTCATATTCAAAGCTATTGCAGTAAAGGAGGATTTTTATTATCTTCAATTGATACTTTAATAACTATTCTGATATTGATACTTTATATAAGCAAGCAACATTGAAGAAGGTACTTTTACTAATATAAACTAATATCACAAATCATGTAGAGCTTTATATGTAAACATCAAAGGGCTAAAGAGAATCAGAGAAGTAAAAATTAAAAACATAAAATATTTAAATGGCATAAGTAAAAAAAGATCTAGTTTATCTGGTCAAGTTGCTAACAATACAGACAGATTATGTACGATTTTCTTTTTATACTTACCGATTTTCAATTTTTTAAGTATTACTATTTTCAGACATAATTTTTGACCCTTGATTAATACGTAAATTTGAAATTTGGCTAAAATATAGTACCAGATTCAAATTTTTTATCTTAAAATTAGGTTATATACTAATTTTGGTATTAACACCTGTAATTTAAAAATATGTCTGTATTTGGGCATTTTATGCTCTTTCAGAGCACCAAAAAATCACTTAGCTAAAAAAAGGAGGTCACCACCTGTTTTTTGTTTTTACACATAATAATGATTTTAAAAAATCTTACATTACATGGTGCCAAAAAAAGTCTCAAAATGTACCTATTCCTATGGTCTAATAATAGGTTCTTAAATGCAAATACCGATAAGTTTTGACTTATGGAGCCTTTTAAAGGGTGTTAACAATTCCACGTCCTTTATTTCAATTGCATTATTTAGGTTTAAAGCTCAAGGTTTAAGTCTACATTATTCAAGTTCACTTTTAGTTCATTTTTCTGATCTATCAGATTTTCTGTATTTACCAGAATAATTTAGCTAATTATTGTTCAATTAAATTTTATTTGATTGTTATTTTTGGATATTCCTATACTGATATCTAATTGTGATTAGGTGAAATTTGGTGGAATATAATTTTCACCTTATATGAAGTTGCCCTTACTGGCTGTAGTTAACTGCAGAAAAGTACTTCAATGTTTTGGAAATGAACTCTATTAAGTCTGGTTTTATATGAATTTTGTTAACTGTTACGATATACTTTTTTAGTGATTTCCACGTGCTAAGGATGGATCTTCTATTTTAGTGATTTCCACGTGCTAAGGATGGATCTTCTATTTTAGTGATTTCCACGTGCTAAGGATGGATCTTCTATTTTAGTGATTTCCACGTGCTAAGGATGGATCTTCTATTTTAGTGATTTCCACGTGCTAAGGATGGATCTTCTATTTCGTCATCAAATATTATGCGTAATAACCTTGGTTTGTTTAAAGTTCACTAGTTTTTTAAAAGAAATTAATTTTTTTTTTTAGTTTTTTGTTCTAGCTAAGTATTTTGTCCGAGTCTAGTATTCTTCGCTATAGTCAAGAGTAATAGGTAAAAAACATTTTAATAAATCCTCATTTTTAAATACAACAAGTATAAAATATTTTTCTATAACTTCTCCAATTGATAAAATTAATTTTACTCATAGGAGCAATATGAAGATATTATTTTATAAAATTATTATTTACATAACAATATCTACAAACTAATTTAATATTAGATATAAAAATTAGAGTCAAAATAATGCATAGTTTTTTGAACAAAATAATGCCCATGCATAATTTATATTGCAATCTATTAAAATTATTCCAACTTTAACTTTTTTTTTTTAAACAATAATTTTTTTCCTTAAAAAGAAATAACACTATTTTAATCCAATACTTCTATTTTATTTTCTTCCAAAATAAAAAAAAAAATTATTAAAAAAATATAAAAATTTGTAAAAATTAAATATAGAAAATTTTTTTACAATACATAAAAACAAAGTAAAAACTTTCACTTTTGACTGTTATGACTCTCAACAAAAAAATCTGGAATTAATGTATCGTACTTGTCTGAAGCGTCAGTGCCAATAAGAGTTCTATAAAAATAGGAAAATACGAATCAAAAACATATTCAGCGACACACAAAATTTAAACTAAATTAAAAACTTTTACATAGTGTTATTGACATTTAATATTATTGATGATGATATAAAGCCTACCTTATACAAATTGCCTTACTTACCTCGGACATTTATTTATAAAGTAAAGAAATGTTTTTTTGATATAAATTATAACAAAAAAAACTTGCATTCCTATCCCAGTGAGTACAGCTGCTAGTCCCACCATTATATAGAAAATGAGATTTGGAAGGACATCTACAGTATGTTCATAAACTGTATTATACATTGTTCCTGCAGCCAAAACCACTAACACTTCCAAACAAGAGAACATAGAAAACATGCAACCTGTTGAAATAAGCATTTAAAATTAATCTAAAATTTACTTAAATTTTTATTGTTTATATTTGGCATTGTGTAAGCAATATAAGCATAAATTGAAATTAATTACCTTAACCCCCCTCCTCCTCGTCACAACATCATAACTTTTTAATTACAATTTTCGTACAAGTCGTCACAAATTTCTAACCTCTATTCCCCCGTTACGTAATTTATAGACGACCCTTAAGTAAAATTTATAGACGACCCTTAAGTAAAATAAAACACTTTTGTATGGATTAATATAAAATAATTTAATAACTAAAATGTTTTAAAACATCTCTATTCTTTTTCTCTATTCTTCTTCTGAGGATTTTAATTTCTTAAAACTGTTATTTATTTTTATATATTTAATAAAAAAAAATAAAAAAAATATATAAACTAATAAAAAACAATTAACCTTTATTATTATTAAATTAAAACAATTAAAAAAACCTTGTTCCTCTGAATTTGTGATTTTAGATAAAGCAGATCTTGTTGCAGGCATACCAACGCTAGTGAAAACAGCTAACGCACCAGCTAAAATAAAATACACAACATTCAATCTTTATTTTACTCAATAAAGAAAGGGATGATATCTAAGCAGCTCAGAGTTTAAACTGAGAACCTACACACAAAAAAAAGGTTTATTAGGTCTATAATTATCACCTAACAATGATCTTTTTTCTTTACAAATTTTCAATGAGTTTATGCCTGTAGGTCAGGTGTCAAAGTTAATTTTTTCAATTGCATTTTCAATATTTATTGAATAGTTTATAATTTAAAACATTTTCAAAATAACACCAAAATATTAACAAATTTTTAAATATAGAATGAAATATGACTCATACCAAGTATGGGTCACCTTATTTCATACTATATTTAAAAATGATTGAACATCTGTCAATGATACTGTTTGCTGTTGTCATCATGTTCATTTAGCATGGGTGACTTGTATAAAAATATTAGTGGCAAATTAATGAAAATAAGAAAAAAAACAAGGTAATAACGGTCTTAAACATGCAAAAAGTTTTGTTTAAACAAGATTGTTTAAAATGTTGTAAAAGAAAATTTTAACAAAAGACAATTTCAACAAAAATTTTCTCAAAGTCTTTTCCGACTAACTAATTTGCATTCTTCTTACTAACAGGATGAATACTATTACAAACTACAGCCTTTATAATTAGGGTCAGCATTCGGCAACATCAACCTAACTGCTAACCTTAAAGTGTTTAAGGTCTGCAAAGGATTGCCGACCTGATACTAGTTTACTAATACTAATTTACTATATTGCTATTGCTAGTAACCTTGATGTTGAGTTGAAAAAACAATTACTATTTATCAGAGAAAACTATCAGACAGAAACATCAGAAAAAATAATTCATCAGGCTAAATATAATATACATATTCATCAGCCATAGTCATTAGAGAAAACAATATTTATGTGACTACATAGTATTAACTTAAAACTTTTTGCTTTATCTCCCAAGATACCTTGTTTGTTGTACTTTTGAAGTTAGCGCAAGCCAAAATGATTTAATTTACATGAATTTAAGTTTTGTTAACTGATCACATCTAATATTAGTTTATTAACTTAAATATAATTTTCATATTATGCTTAATTTAAATCCATTTTTACAGAATGAATGATCACTTCAAGCAAATCCTTAACTGGTGTTATAACAACAATAGCATATTCATATTAATAGAAGCACTGGCAATAAAATGCAGTATTGGTGGTTTATTGGTAGAGCACTAGAGAAGTAGTGGTAGAGCGCGCTATCTTGCAGTTGGTGTAGTGGTAGAGCTCCAGGGCTGCCGAGAGCTGTCACGCCTGGGACAGCAATCCTGATTATCGCCCTTATTTATCAAATTTTCCCTATATTATATATGAAGGATCTTTTTTTTTAGGTACCTACATATCATTTGGCACCCCTTGGATATCTGCTGCCCAATACAAACTGTCCCTCGCAACCCCCCATCTTGGCAGCACTGTAGAGCGCTAAAATTGTAAGTGAGAAATTCCAAATATAATACCCACCATGTAACTGGTAGTACAATGCTCAACTTGTTTCTTCACGCAACAGCCTTATTTTTCAAGATTTGTAGTTGATAAAAATAAGATTTTTTAACAATTGAAACAATTGAAAACAACTTTAGGCAAGATGCTAAAGCAATTATTTGTTAAACACATTAAAACTAAAACAACTATTAAACACTTCAAAAAGTATTCAACTTTATTAAGTTATTTTAATACTATAAGATATTTTAGGAAAATTTCATCATAAAATCTGAATAGATGTACTTATTTACTTACAGGTTTATTTAACATGAATTTATTAATATTTTCAAATCTATTTTATTTTAACCTTGATTTTAACCTTCTGATTAGGGGTTGTTTGTGGGCAACTCCCAGAAAAAATAATAAATCGAAATTCCAATAGCCTCAGAAATTTTTTTCGGGATCCCACGATTTTTTTTTTTTGGTACCCATAGATTTTAATACCAAATCGTTAACTTTGATGAGGTGGAAGTAGTTAAATTTTGGCAAAAATTCCTAATTAAATTGTTTTAGGTTCTGAAATGATTTGTAAAAGTGAAGCAGCATTATTAACAGCTGATGACACATTAAAATTTATTATTACAGAACTTGATTATCAAGTTTTGTAATAATAAATTTTAATTTATTATTACAAAACTTGATAATCAAGTTCTGTATTTCAAGATTGCTATTTAGTAAACCTTATGAATACTCTATTAATTATTAACAATTGAAAATGTCAAAGAAGGAAAAGAATTTATTAAGGTTTCTAGATAATCTACAGTCTTTAAAAAGTGATGTGTATTATAACTTATTTTGCATACCATCTAAAACAGAGATAATAAAAATGGCTATTGAATTAACAAGAGACTTTTCTCCATATTTGAAAATATACCAAAAGTACGAGATAAAATTAATAATAATGATAACCTCAACAACATTATGATTAATGATAAGCTTAACAATTGTAATGTCAGTTTAGAAAATGCATCAGAATCTATGGCTGAAAGAGTTCAACAGGTTTATTTTTTTAAAAGTTTAGAACTAGATTATCCGACAGTCATCTGGATGCACTGGTTTTTTCTAAAAGGTCACTTTAAATTACAAAAATAGTTTTAAAAATAAAGTAAAAATAAATAAATTTCATTTTATTATAATGTAAGATTTTCCTGGGATCATGGGAACACTATGAACATTTCCCGCTATCCTGGAATAGCAAAATATCTGGGAATTTGCAATCCCTACTTCTGATGCTCTACATTTTTATTTTTATATAAATGTTACATGGCAGGGTGTTAAAATGTTGGTAACACCCTCCCCATGTAACACCCATGATAAAAAATGTTGTAAACACTACTATTATACTATTCTATATTATTCTTTTTTTTCCTTATATATATAGCATCCTAGTCGCAACTTTCGGGGACATGTTTTTTTTATTCTCGTTCTGTTTTTTTTTTTTTACTTTTTCATATTATTTTTATTATATTTATATATATTTTTTAATTTTTATTTAATTTCTATTTTTTATTTATACATATTTAAATTAATTATATATTTTATATAAAATATATTTTTTATATTAATTTTTGTTATTTTTATTTATTTATTTCTTATTATATTTCATTTTTAACTTCATCTATTTAAAAAAACAATTAATTACAATAATATGACCAAATTTAAACCTTACCGTAACCCTAACCATAAGCTTGACTTTAATGCATAGCCTAACCAAACTCTCAGTTGATGTAGCAGCACTCCCTTGCAAGTCAGGCTATTTGATAGTCAATGTATTTACTTTTCGTTCTCTATAAAAATTTCTTATGGGTACAAAAAAAAAAATGCTTACGGGGACAAAAAATTAACGGGTACACTAAAATGTCCCTGATAACACTAATGTCCCCATAAGTGTTCGTTTTTTGTAAAATCTGTCCCCGTAAGTAAAAAACTATACAAATATATATATATATATATATATATATATATATATATATATATATATATATATATATATATATATATATATATATATATATATATATATATATTATTTATCTTATTTTTATCAATCATTTATTTATATGTTTTCAGATGACTTTTTTTAAAATGTTGCAGACACCATCCTGATTCTTTCTGTTATATATGTGGTATAAAAAAGAGAGACATAAATTTCTCTATTAAAGCTTTGGTAAATGTTTGTAAAGCCTATAAAAAGTAATTTTATGATGCTAGATAAAAATCAAAACAAACTAATGTTCATTATTACAGTTGTTAGCACTGCAAGAAGCAGGGTTGGCAAAAACCTGGGTTTTTGAGTAAAAACCCAACCCAACTGGGTTTTTGGGTGGGTTATTAGATTTTTACTTAAGTTGCACACAAATCTTTAGTAAAAAAGTTTGATAAATTTATAGTAAATTAAAAGCTATTTATCATTTTTTAAAGTTATATTTTCTTATACAAAAGCTTAATTTATAATCAGATTGCATTTTATTCTAATATAAATTTTTTGTTTAACTGAGTTATCTTTTTAGTCAAATTTAAAATAAAATTGAACTATACGTCTTTATTTGACATTAACATGTCAAAGTATCAATTTGAGTGAAGAAATTAGGCTAGTGAGTAAAATGAAGTGACCATATTAAGTGATCAACCAAGTAGATTAATATGTAATCATTGCAAAGAGAGCATAATTAAAAAAGTAGTGAAAGTTAAGATTTTGATAAATTCAGAAGTAAGAAAAAAGGAATTGCTAAGAATTCTGCAGAAGTATTTAACGATACATCAGTTTAAGAGTCAAGACCATCTACATCTGCAGCATCGAACAAGTCTAACCAGTCAGAAGATAATGATCAAGATTATTTTAGCTTTATTAGTAAATCTTTATCAATTGTTCATTTAACTGCAATGACGATGCAACGGCAAACATCCGTTTCTAAATTTGTTACTTCAACAACAAGTAATCAGAAGAATGAACTGGATTCGCAGGTTAAAAGGTTTCTTTTTTTCAACAAATATACCATTCAACATAGTAGAAAAACTTGACCTGACTACCTATAGAATAGAAAACAGATATCTTCAGACCTCTTAGTAAAGGTAAACGAAGAAATAATCAATATAATGAAATGTGATCTTGATGATGATTGTGCTGTTATCCTAATTCACGATAATTGGAGTACATTTAGTAATGATTTTATAATTGTTCGTAGTATCCAAAACGATACAAAGATGATATTTTACAGAGGTTTAAGAAAACAATTGTTCTATATCATTTTTTGGCCAATTTAACAGATTTAAAATGTAAAGGTAACTATAAAATTGTAAAAAAATTAATAACATGCATCTGATCATGAATTAAAATAAATGCTATTAAAAAATTTTCTATTTATCTAAAAACAACCTTGGATAGAAGCCAAGGAGAAGAAGCTGAGAAATAGCTGAAGAATGAAAGAACCTTGGATAGAAGTCAAGAAGAAGAAGCTGAGGAATGGTTAAATGAAGC